TACATTAAAGAGAAAAAGTAAAACAGTATTTCAAAACAGGTTAGTAAGAAAGTTACAAAAATATGACTTTAAAATATCACAGAATACTGAATTACCATGCATAAAGTAAATGATATAAAAATCTGGAAGTATTTACAAAAGGATATTCTTTTAAGAGAAAATTTAATCTTTAGAGAGATCACTTGAATTGTACATATAATCAGCACCTAGTTCTCCAAGGATGTTGGCTAGAAAGACAGACAGACACATTGTACTCAAAGTGATCAAACCACTGCTAAAAACAAACTGGAAAAAGTTGAAAAAAAAATGAAAGGAACACATTGGCATCTTATTAATGTGACACTGAGGCATTTTCTAAGAGTTCAGTATTCATATGACTTAATTCTAAGTGAAGTTATTAAGTGCTTGATTTCATTATTTGTTACTGATTAAAACGAGTCTGTAAATTTATAGATTTTTGCCCAGTAGAGATGTAAGTGACTTCTTCCTACCAGAAAAAGATTGCCCTTAGACATTCACTACTTATGAGCTTACCTAGCAACATTATGTCTACATTGTTTCTTAGGTACCTAAACAGTCCTGAGCACACACTTAGCCTCTTCAGTTTTCTTAGAACTATGCTTATCATTGCTTTTAGTTGTTACTGAATGAAATACAACTTTACTGTATACTTATTCTATATTTGAGTGAGAGCCACGTTTTCATGATTTGGGAAACTTTACTTTAACGTTAGTAACTGTGAAAATATATTAAGTTATTCCAAAAAAGCAACATGTAAGTCTTAGCCATCATGGTAATGTTTAGGAGATTTTCTTTTTAATTCCACAAAGATTTTCACACAAAGTTTGGTTTGGTTTCATTTGGTTTAGTTTGATTTGATTTGGTTTTTAGACAGGGTCTAACTAGATAGTTGAGGCTGACCTTGAACTTGCTATTTAGCCCATACTGGCCTCAGATTTGCCGCAGTTCTCCTGCCTCAGTGTCCCAACTGCTGTGAGTACAGGTGTGCATCGCCACACCACGCACATTTTTTAATTTTTGAGTCAATATAAACTCACACTCATGAAAGAAAAATTTTAAGATAATTCATGGTGATGTTTCTTTATTCTGAAAATAACCTTTAAAAGATAATATGATTATAGAGAACTAACAAAATTAATCCAACTCAATATTTATTTATTTAGAATACCAAATTAAACATCCAAAATGGTACTATTTCAATTAATGAGCAATGCCTAACAGATTTTTTTTTTGTTTCACTTTATCGAATACCTTGGGAGAAAAATCTTTCCTGAGTCACATAAACAGATAAAGCAA